TTATTAATTGATTGTACTATGCGCCTCTATATTCTGTATGTATAAATAGCGATCCGATGTATCTGGAATAAAAAAAGTGATTTTGGGACGACGTTGCAGTGCTAATCCGTAAAAAGGAAAGACACACTCCCGCCAGACTGAAACCTCTTCGCTAGCAGCCATTCGGGCCCGGCACTTGTGAGTATAGGAACGTTGTGTTCTGCTCCTTGTGACTGCGAGAAGTATATCCAGTTGTTGGGTATTCTTCGAACTTAGGATCAGTCGTTGGTCTTAAGGGCAAATCACGCTGTGTGGTTGTGCCAGCACATAGTTCTAGCCCTCCGTAGGGGTCTGTGTGTTTCGGTTTTAATTTACTTTGATTCAAACCCCCAATTCTTGATATACCCAAATCAATACAAACCAAAGCACAAATCGTGCTGAATCTACCTTGATCAAAGGAATACATCGAATCCTTAGAACGATTCAAATTGATTGATCGAAGCTTCGTACTTAGCTCTCAAAGCTTTGCGGAACCTTTGCCAACGCTACCCCTTGCTATTAAATAAATTTGATAGCAGTGAACTCGCATATTGTGTATTAGATTGGTTGGTTGGAGTGCCCATTAGATTCCTTCCTTTCTCTTTCACACAAAAACGAGGCAAGCTCGTTAACGGAACTTCCTAAATCACCTGCATCCGCTACGTCCAGCTTCGCTCGGTTATCCCCTGACCTCACTCCGAGTCAGTCATCACCATTTCGAGTCGATGTCGAGGTTGCGATGACCAAGGATGATGCATATTATCATGACTATCGGGTTTTCTTGGTGAGAAATGCACTCAAGAGTTTGGAGGCACCCATTTCAACTACCCATGTATAGACGGAAAATCATCTCTTTCAGATACCAATCCGGTTTCTTGCTGCCGAGTCTGAATACTTTCAAGCCAGGATGGATCAGAACGACGGACTAACAGAAGAGAATCCGATTCGTCTTGATTCAGATGTGTCACCAGAAGACTTTCGACAACTCTTGAGGGTGCTTTCTCCTGCGTGAGTGATATTGAAACCCTACGACATCATATTGTGCTGATGACAGTGCATTAGGAAGAGGTTCAATGCGGAGCCCGAAGTCTTTTCCCTCTCGCAATGGCTTTCAGTACTCAAGCTCGTGAAGAAGTGGGACATGGATGAGGTTCGGGGATACGCCATATCCGCCATTGAGAAGTTACCTAACGTCGATCCCGTCGACAAAATCGTTCTCGCGAGGACATATGACATACCGACTTGGCTTGTGCCATCGTTCAACGAGATTCTGCAACGTTCCCAATCGCTCACGGAGAGTGACATTGAGAAATTGGGTATCCCCACCACTGTGCGTTTGGTAAAACTACGTGATCGTCTTCGTCCGTCAACCACACAGATGGGTGTGTGGATGCTGGACAAAGAAAGATTAGGTGTCCCCATTGACTTTACATCGAGCATTCCAGATGAGTTTCCTGAGTGTAAAGGGCATCACAATAACCATTTCTCCGACAGCGAGAAACCAAATTTGGAATATGTCCCTAGTATCGGAATTCCTACTGCCCCCTCTTATGCGCCATCTATTATTGAATCTCCTCGCCCTCTCTCAAGTGACATGATCTTACTTAGGTCTCCTCTCTCTTGCCATCCCTCTCGTGCACCCTCTCGTGCACCCTCTTGTGTACCCTCTTGTGCACCCTCTTGTACTCCCCGACAGGTTAGTGACATGTTCATTCCACCCTTCTTATCTGGCGCATCTGCAACCACTCCATCGTCTTCGACTCCTAGACCAGCAAATGTTCCACTTGCCACTAAGCCAATTAATGAAAAGAAGAAGAAAGGCAAGAAATTGAAATCCAGAAAGTCGTTTCTTGATGATTAAGTATTTCATCAACACAAGTATTGTATATATATGACCATGAACACTATTTTGGTGACCCCTCTCTTTGTAATTAGTACCACTAGTGGACAGATGTTGGCCACTACCTGGTTGGTGAGCCTTGAACATGGAAATGAATGAAAGCACATCACAGTTTGTTCTTATCTGTGGTCATGATTGTCGCGGCGGTTTGCACAAGTACTGTAATATTATCCAATGTCACGGTGATCATGAGAGGGATCTGGAAGTTTGCATGTTCATTAAAGATGTTTCCAACATCATACAAGTTCCTATACATAGCATGGAGGCATCAGGAAAACGGTCCCCGGCTAATGTCCAGAAATTATTCGAAATTACGGCAAGAGACGGCAAGCTCTTTTCAGGCCAAGGTAGCCCCTGTCATGTCTTATGTGGTAACTTTAGTGTAACTTTCGGCAGTTTTGACTTGTTTTTGATTCCTTTTATCCACCATCGTCAGCCAACCGCAACCTGCCGTGACGTCTACACTGGAGTCTGGATGGCTCAGTGGGTAGAACTGTATACTCTATCTATCTATCTATCTATCTCTTTACTGAAATGTGATAATGTCCGACGGTTGCTGAGGGCTATGTATGACCCCGCCGCCGATGGATGATTTCTGACTTGATATATGTTCTGGTAGTTTTCCCCTTTGCAATTTGTATTTCTGTTCTCCTCTTCTTCCCTCCTCTCAGCAGCAAGCAAAGTGTCTGATATCTGCCTAGTTGCCGAATACTCGAAGTGATAGATTCGCTGGTCGAACCTATCCCCTCAAAAAAAATCCAGCAGCGGGTAGATATTTCAAATTCAGTGTTAAAATTTTTAAAAGTATGTGGGAAACTTTCTAGTCACAGCTGCAGGCGTACGTCTTGAGCTTCCATTGTCTGAATTGTCGACTTAACAATGAAGTCTGGCATCGAACCCAACAGTAGCTTTACCCCTTTGACTCTCCGACCTTGATTGCGCGACATGATGCTCCTACCATTTTCACCTGCATGGCGATTGTACACTGTTCTTCTCGCTTTTGCCCTCCTCGTCATCTCTATATCTGCTAGCCCGTTGGCCATGACAAACGTCCACCTCGAACGTCGAGGTAAGCCCTGAAAAATAGTCGAAATTGTAGTGAACACACGTTGATGGGACTGTTAGGGCGCTACAAAAATTCCGTTGCTCAGGTTTACGTGGGACGCAAGAATCCCAATACTTCGCTCTATATGCAAAAAAATGTCCCATACACCGCTCACGACCAATTTTGCGTGTTTTTTGGAAAACATTACGGTTTACAATACTCCGGACCTCAGGAAAAAGCGGCACGCATAAATGTTCCAACTGTACGGGAGCACATCGACTATCATGTCTTGACATCATTAGGTCAAGTCCAATACGATGATCTAGTAGACCCGGATTTCGAGGAAGCGCTGAAAACTCTAACCGTTCTTCAATTGAAATCACCGCAAGCTATCACTGATGATTTTACTTATGTTGCGGGAGTGGCAGCAGAACTGGAGTTGGATCACGAAGATGGGGAATGGCACAAGATATACACCGAAGTTATGAACTTAAGGGCTCGAGAGCCGAAGCGACATTCACCTACATACTAACGTGGGCTCTGGTAGCTGCATTGGCCAATTTTGCTTTTATGTAAACCTTTTACCGGTCCTTGGTAGTAGCAGCATATGGTTGTGTCGTTATTCGTTGCACACTTTGTTTAGTCACGTGGTGAGACTTGAACTTGTGCTCGAATTCAATTTTTGAAATACGCAGATCTACAATATAGCAGTGAGACCACCACATTCTTGGCTAATCTAGAACGAGTCGATGACTTGATGGCCAGCGCTACAGAAGATGAACTAGAGGAGATAAAGTGCGCCACAACCAGTTCGGTCCTTTAAACTTTACTCATTCCTTTACCACAGACGCTATGAAGACTTTACGACCGTAGGTCAGCTCGCTTTCTGCAATCTAATGAAGGAAGGATTAAATTACACACTTGCATAGACTGGATACAAGATTCAATTCTAGAGAGAAATCGTCGAATACGAGCTGGCAAACGTCGCTGGATTGAAATTGGCCAAACGTGGATAGTCGTCTCCATTGTAGGAGTATGCATTGGATTGAACGCAGCAATTATATCCATCGTCACCGAATGGCTTTCCGACATCAAGATGGGCTATTGTGCTGATGGATGGTGGCTTAATGAGCAGTTTTGTTGCTGGGAAATTGAAGGAGAAGACGAGACTGATGCCTGCGACTCCTGGCATCCTTGGAGTGAAGTCGGTCCAGCGCGTTGGCTTATTTACGTGATGTGTGCCGCCTCGTTCTCCTTTGTGGCTGCCCACCTGGTTCGGTCGCTTGCGAAGTATGCTGCAGGATCAGGGATATCAGAGATCAAGTGTATATTGGCAGGATTCACTATGAAACGCTTTTTGGGCTTTTCAACGCTCTTCATCAAGAGTTTGACCTTGGTAAGTGCTCTGTCATATATTTGGCTTCCTCCTTGTTCATGCGATATAGCCGTTGGTCATTGCTTCTGGTCTGTCAGTAGGCAAGGAGGGTCCTTCGGTTCATGTGGCTTGCTGTATAGGTTTTATTGTCGCGGGCTGGTTTCCAAAGTTCGCTAGCAGTCAAGGTGCGCTCACATGTTCAGTCCATCGTACTCTCATCTTATCTTTCTTAGCCAAGATTCGTCAAGTCGTCACAGCGGCTAGTGCTGCAGGCGTCGCAGTAGCGTTTGGATCACCTATCGGCGGAGTAATATTCTCCATCGAGGTGTGTTTTTACACCCGATTCCAGGTTTTCAAAGTGCTCATAATCCATTCCTACAGGAAATGAGCCACAATTTCAGCATTAAAACGATGTGGAGGTCTTTTTTCTGCGCCTTAGTCGCTACGTTCACGCTGTCGGTTCGTTCTCCTACCTTTCCACTGTATCGTGAAAGTCAATATTTCACGCAGGCGATGAACCCGTTCCGAACGGGAAAGCTTGTCCTCTTCCAGGTCACGTACGACCGAGACTGGCATTTCTTTGAGATCATATTTTTCGTAATTTTGGGTATATTCGGAGTGTGTCTCTTATTGTTGCCTTCTTTGGCCCTATCGTTGACTGATATCCTCCTTGAACTCGTAGGGTCTGTATGGCGCTTTCGTCGTTAGATTCAATCTCCAGGTCGCCGCCTTCCGACGCAAATACCTGCAGTCACACGCCGTGGCCGAAGCAGTCATATTGGCTGTGGGCACAGCGATGATAGGATATTTCAACAGGTTCCTGCGGATTGACATGACGGAAAGCATGGCGATCTTGTTCAGAGAGTGTGATGCATCTACTGGCGGTGGTACAGGCGACATATGTCAGTGAGTGATTAGCTGCGAAGCTCGGTGCATTGAGCCTTGCGTTGGATTCGGAATCAGAAACTGATCTACTACGTTATTTGTAGAACCTCTATGCAATGGCGTCTTGCCAACTCTTTGCTCCTTGCTACAATAATCCGTACCGCCCTCGTCGTGGTCTCCTACGGCTGTAAGGTTCCAGCAGGAATTTTCGTCCCCAGTATGGCCGTAGGAGCGAGTTTTGGTCGGATGGTCGGGATCATGGTACGAGCGACGTATAGAGCCTATCCTCAATCGGGTATCTTTGCCTACTGTGATCCGAATAGTCCAGCGTGTATCACCCCCGGAACTTATGCATTCTTGGGAGCTGCTGCTGCGTTGAGGTGAGTCTCGTATTCGTCTACGTGTACATACTCTTTATGCTGTGTTGTAGTGGTGTGATGCGTATTACAGTGACCGTGGTTGTGATCATGTTCGAGTTGACTGGTGCGTTAACGTATATATTACCTACCATGGTGAGTGATTGTTACTTCCCAAGTGGGAGGATTTCCATCTTGACTCAGACTGCCTTCCTCCAGATCGTTCTACTTGTAACCAAAGCAGTAGGCGACTTTCTCGGTACAAACGGTATTGCGGATGAGATGATCAAGTTCAATGGGTTCCCGTTTCTGGAGAAGGAGGATCATGCGTATGGAGTAGACGGTTAGAACTTCGATTCTCTGTTCAGTCTTTCGCCCTTCTAACTATTCAACTATCCTTTCAGTATCGGTGGTCATGCGTACGGATTTGTATACTGTGCCGGAAAAAGGATTGCGTGTAAAGGATGTTGGTGAGTATTTCTCATTTTCCTATGATACTCCTGTCGTTTTTTTCCTTGTCTTCTCACCCATCAATTTAGAATCCCTGATATCATCCACCGACGTGAAGGGATTTCCCGTTGTTTCCGGTACAACATCTGGATCGGCGTCTTCATTGTCATCCTCTTGGTCCGAGGCAGTGGCCGGAACGGAAGAAGACGGTAATCTGGATGGCGGAAAGCCGACGTTATTGGGATACATAGGCAAAACGGAACTAAAATTCGTGTTAGGTAAGCTGTTCCCCTGTTATACCCCCGCACCTCCACTTTTGGTTTTTCAAAATCCGAACTTCTACTTGTCGTCTCTGATGTTCGTACATCCTACGACCGACATTTAAAGTGGAGGTTGGAGCGTATATGTATCGTCGGCTCGAAAAAAGTTCCATGAAATCTAATTTCCGAGACAGAGAAATTCCGCAAAACAGCAGGTCATTTAGATCCCGAGATTCCGTGCCTATTTGGACCTCCGTTACCTCCGCCGCCCCCTTCAGCTCCAGTGTCTGCATCAAGACCGACGAGGCTAGCTAGCAATAGAGTGGATGAGTTGGTGCAAGGAATAGAGGAAGAAGAGATTCCTGAAACGATGTTTGAGAGGCCGGATGGTTCGGAGGGCATGGAAATATGGCCTTGGGTCAATCAGGTGGAATTTTTTGTTATCTGCTCGACCATTGCATTTCCTGATATGTAGCTTGTGGATACTGTGCTTGATTCGCTTTTGCTTCTTTTTAACAGACACCGATGACTGTATCACCGCAGCTTCCATTGGAGATTGTGATGCAGCTATTCAAACGAATGGGGTGAGTGGCCATTTTTTTCGTTTATCTTCTTTTGTTGCAGATGCGGTCGGGGTCTTTGACCCTCGCTATTACATACCGCGATCGTTTAAACTTCAACTTCGCCCTTACATTTTTCTTATATCACCTGAGTTTTGTATAACTATATTGCTGGGCAGCGTTGGAGTCGCAAGGCGTTTGACACCTTCACTGTCGCGCCTCTCAGCTTTTGTCGTCATTGTGCTCCTCCCGCAGACGTTTGACGCATCATCGTTATGTCCATCCTCTCGAGCCATTGGCGTTGGCTCCTTTTCGTCATGCTTAGTTCATTTATTACTCACTTGGCTTCATGTTCGTTTTTTGATCACACTTCTGATCATTGTACTCCGCATTACCTTGTTTTACTCCTCACGCTCCGACTCTCCAATATTTCGGTCAAGCGGATTTGCTTATCCCAACTTGTTGATGTTTTAGCCCACGCGTAATTCTGGTTGAGGACCACGGTTCGCTGGTAGGCCTCGTCACTGTCAAAGACGTCCTACGATTTATTGCGATGGAAAAACCGGGATACCACCATCCATCGTGGGACGAGAGAGGCGGGTTGGATGGGCTACTGGAGGAGCTGTGGTCTGTTATTAGAGGAGTAGTTGATCGGTTAGGCGAGAAGTTTGCTGGTCTGCGTAGCAGAAGATGAACTATATCGGCCATTGATAGTCTGAGTCAGTAGTTGGGTCTACATTTCTATTTGATGATATCTGATTCTCAGCGTATGTATAGGTGTATTTTATTTCAACGTAATTAATTTTATTGATTGAAAAATTCCCTTATTTGGAAATCGAAATTGTTACTCCACAGCGATCGGCTACGTCACCAAATGATAGTAATTCGCTGACTACATTTGTATTGAAAATGGTATTTGGAGATGTTGGGTGGAGTGCCCCTCAGAAACATATAAAACAGGATTCTCCGCTTTCTCAATTTAACGATTCACCACTACCATACGAAATGGCTTTTTCCTCAGAATACGAACGCGCTCGTTACTCTCAACAGCTTGCTGAACATACTTTGCGTCAGTTTTCTGCTGCTAGAGTTTCACCAGACAGCACCGCCAGGCTACCTCCAAGTCAAAGCCACAAGCTAGCGAGGCTGCTCGGTGTGTACAGGCTAAAATTGTTTTATCAATATCCATCTGCTTACCGATTCTTATGCAGGAAAACCGACTTCTTCCTCTACATCGCCCTGCCGCAATACTCGTGGTGTTTCGGAACCCAGTTGCCGTGCAGTTAAAGCATGATTATGCTTGCATTCATATATCCCTTTGGGGTAGGTACATTGTCGGCATAGAGCCATCGCCACCAACGCCAAATGCTCACTCGCTTGAATAGTTTTATTTTCTTGTTCACCAAAACCTTACCTGATCGCCATCGCATCTATCATCACACGACGTGCTTCGCGTTCATGCATACTTTCGCATACCTTTGTACCACACTCAAGGCATCTATCTGGACGACGTGTCTTTTTCGCATATCACGGTTCACACCGCCGCATTGTACCGCTCATAAATTATTATCTCTTATACAACTATCATCAGCGGAACGTTGAACAGGCTGAACGGTATCCACTCACCTGGCCTAGATGTATTCTTTTGCCCATTGTATTAATATTATGTCACAGTCGCAACGTACTTATTCTCTTGATACAATGAAAATTTCCAATTTGTGTCCTCTGAAGGTGTACGCACAATTCCTAAAAATTATGATTCATCTGGAAATCAAAAGCCAAGCTCCTATCTATGTAGAAAATCTCGGCAGTATCCTTGTTTTGTGAACTACGGGGAATCAAATTGATTCCACAAAATCTCAAAAATCATTGCCTTCAAAATCGTGATTGGATAGTCACTGATAAAAATTTCGCTCTATATGTCCCGCTCCCACTCCACAACAGGGAATACTAGTTTGTCTGATTGCCTACAGTCGTCCTTCCGCATTTTCTACATTTAGCTCACACCCCATCGCAGACTCCACAATTATTCATGCGACGCCCGCATGATAGCACGATTCCATGTAATTTCTTCAACTCTTGGTAGCCTCGAAATTTGGATTAGATAGGCGTACTAGATCTAGCCTACCGCCCGGTCAATTTAATCAGCCAATTTCACGGACATGAATTAGTGAACCTTCCCATAGTAAGCCTGCTCAGTGTGGCCTGTTCTGGGAGTTGAGTCGACGTCATATTATTGACTTCTAACTACCCAATAACCTTCAGCCCCTAGCAGATCGGAGGGCAAGGAAGAATTAAAATCAAAAAGGGTAGAATATCGTGCAATAGAGATTTTTCTGATGACTCTAAGCCAGCTCTAAGCCAATGACGAGTTGTCAAGGATAGACATTGCGCACAAATAATGTCCATATCCATGTAGGTGGAATTTCACAATATTTGGCCTTTAATCGCATTGACTTTTGAGCGCTCGAGCACTACCTTGGTTGGTCGGCTTACATCCTGGAAATCCGATACAAACGCCAGCGTCACTTTCGAGTCAACTGTATAAGCCAGAAATATTGAGAAACCACCTAGGTCCTTCTCAAAAATAGTAGCATAAACTCAAAACACTCACTCAATGCAATCTACATATCTGCTATAACCTCGCTTCGACCCGTCACCGAAAATGATAAGTGCAGTCTATCAGATTTATGAAAATTCATGACAAAAGAAGGAATATATTTATATCACAGAATTAGAAGCATCCATGAGAAGCAACGAAGTGCAGTTAATATACAACAACGACGATGTTGACCCTGTCATAAGCTATCCTCCTATCCTTGAAACATTACTCGCAATCCAATATCATATCCTCGAGCTCTTTGCCTTTTCACCAAGAGCAACCACGTATTCAAGATCACGAAATCGAATTATGACCTTCTGACTACTCCTGCGTTTGCTTTCAGGTTATGAATTGTTTCCTATATTTTCGGAAGACAGCCGCGGCGCTATGAGTTCAGGTAGGACGCGGAAAAGCGAAGAACCTACCGCAGCCTGCCCGATCTTTCCCCTTACGATTGATACAACCTCCCTTCCTTTCGGGTCAATTAGTCTCCCGGTGACTCGGCCTTTCTCATCTAAACTACATCTCCCTTTATAAATTCCATCCACAATCTCTAACTCATGCTTGCCAGCCTCTGTGGTCAGTTTCAAGTCTTTTGACTGGAAGTGAACGTTGAACTGGAAGTAGCCATCGTAATCGGGAGATGGATATCCGTCCCAACGGGATACTCGGATGGTTGAAGCACCTTGGAGGTACTTGGGTGCAGTATTGAGTACCTCGATAGCAGCAAGTTCTGCTGATTCTTGAAAGTGTCTGTCGGAAATCACTGGGGCCCGAGTGCCAATGAAGTTGACAATGGCTTTGAGGCTAGGATTTGGACCGCTGACCATCTCCTCTCCTATTCTATCCTGGTTCCATTCACCAAGCTGTCAAAACAGAAAAATCAGTGTCCGCAATAGAAGATGCCGAGGATCAACAAACACACCTGATACCTCCCTTGCCGAAAAGATATAATATCTGCTTTGGATTGTAAATCGTGTAGTTTCCCACTGAGGGACATTTCCCGTTTAGTTTGCCATGTTGTTATGAAATCAGGTTGATCTGAAATGGTCCCTTCGAATGAAAAAAGGTGACCATCCTGTTCGAAGTGGACATAGAAGTAATAAGAGGAAAGGTGGGCCTTTGGATAATCTCGCCACGTGGAGACTTCGACTGTCAACCCTTGAACAGTGAGATGGGGGGATGCTGTATCCAAAATGATCTGAACGGCGTCTTTGAAGAACTTGAGCTTTTCTTCATCAACATGGTCCCTGGACGTAAATTGGACAGTAGCCTTCCAGGGATTGGTCGACAACGTATCCGCAGAGAAGGGGTTTGCGTTGGAAATTGTGTAGTTCAGATTCCCAGACGATGACTACAGAAGTCAGTCGGATAATGTTAAAGGCAACGAAGGAAGTATAACAAGACAACGTCAGACTCACCGAGCCCGAATTAGCAGAAGCGACGTTCTTAGTAGAACCAGAATCCACAGGTAGGGCGATAGTCCATGTAAGGGACGTAAAACCCAGCAAGAGGGTCAAGTAGAGCTTTAAAGAAGTTATATGCATCGTGGAGACGACGAGTTTTGACCAGCAAAACCTTTCCCAGTAGCGAGAGCGTTTGTAACCAGCCGGTGGTGGGAGGGATTTTTATTTAAGCCTAGGATACGTATCCTTTTTGAACGAAACGAAAGCCTGCATATTTTGATGATGATTTGATCAACCTCCTGGGATCGCGTCGGTTTCCTTTCCTTCGTACTTAGTTCCGACACAAAGCTGAATAGAGCTGTCCTGAGCTTGTTTGGCCCCGGTTTGGCCATACACAGGATTTCTCAGGGATGAAAATCCCGCATCTGATTGGTTGGGATAGGACTATCGATCATAAAATCAATGATTGATGGTGCCATTATAACGACGATACAAGTAAAGTAAGTATGTTTTGTTCATAGGGGACGAGAAGTACCGTTGTTGATGTGTAAACAGCCCGGACGCACTCCCACTCATTGCTTAGCATAGGCTACCATTCCCTGCATCGACGAGCCTGTAGAATGAAATCAGATAAGGCGCATAGGACCCGGAGGCTTCTTAATATTACACTCACTGACGGTGATACCAACGGACTCCACAGCAGTACTGATATTAAATTGCTGAACAGACTGCAGTCTACCGGGTGCAGGGAGCGCGAAGACTTCGAGAGAGTTTATCCCGGCAGCGAGCGTGTACATGTAACTAAAGGAACAAGGCGACGAAATTAACCGAAGAGGTTCCAGGAGTCAGGAAGGAACCGAATAATACTTACTCAGTACCGTTGACGGACATAACATCACTATCAATAAGACCATCCCCGAGGAACTGGGTATAATTCTACAAATCTTCGTTGAAATATTTCACACATGAAACAAAAAAGGATGCGCACACCAATGATAGTTGATTGCAGCGTAGCAGGGTCGATCGCGATCTCGAAAATTCTTCCCTGAGCATCAATGAGCATATAACTGCCAGTACTCGGACTATACGTCGACCAGCAAGTCGCACCCTGCCCACTGATCGCCACAGCCGACGAACGATTCGCGCCAGTGAGATCGAAAACTTCAAAACCAAGCGCGGGATCCGCGACGACATACGCTTCCTGGCCCGGAACTGGTGTGATGGAGAACGGTAAGACACCACCAGAAGGAGATGCAATAGCTGAAAAGTTCTTCGAGAGAGATCCATTAACACCGATGTCATAGTACCCAAGATATCCTGGGGCAGTGGGTGTTGTACCAGAGTAAGCCACGAGAAGCTTTGAAGAGTCGGAGGAAAAGAGGATCTGGCTGACGGTGTTCGTGGGTCCAGCAGCAGGAGTGGTTTGGTTGATGCCGAGGTAGCGGGTGGTGTCGGCCAGAGGTGTTAACCCGGAAGTTTGGTGTACGGAAAAACAGCTATGCAAGGAGTTGATTACTTCGAGTACTGATTTGAAAAGGGAGCGCTACCTGACGCCATTAACTTCGCCTCCGTTCAAAGCACAAACGATATCTCCAGCTTTGTTGAACGTGACCGACGTGGGCCATTGACCACCACTTCCCGCAGGGTCACCAATGAGTGTCAAATTGCTTGGGTCAGAAGGGTTGATGGAGAAGAGGGAAACTGTTCCGGATCCAGGCTGTAAATACATACATAGTAAGGATTCCGAATCAGAACGGATTAAAATCGACAAGAAAACTAGGATACGTACGTTGACCGCAACGAGCATGTTCGTCACATTGCTCACAGCTACAGAACCTTGCCCAAAAAGTCCATCTGGGCCAGTATTCCCTCCGTTGATCCCATGAAGACCCATTCCGCCAGTTGCATACGCTTCACGGAGGTTGACTTGTCCGTCTGAACCGACATCTGCTGCGAGGATGTAGTTGCCACTATCTTCGTTCGTCATCCCTATTATGTAGCGTGAGTTTCCAATGAAGACACTGGAACAGACGATACTCGCAGTATACAGATCCAATGGTGGTCCCAGACGCAGAGCTGACTTGAACGGCTGGTGTCGGCTTTCCATGAACTTTACCGCTTACGGAGATGCCATTTCCTAAAGCGAGGTCGATAATGGCCAGGATGGAGAGGAGCAGACTTGTTGCATGCTTCATCGTAACTGCGAGAAGAAAAGTGGTGGAATTAAATTCGATATGGGTCCCATGAGCCGGGCGCTCACCAGTATTGGATCAGGACGCGTAAAGAAGGAAGGGATAGTAACAAAACGAATGGAATAATAAAACATTATATCGCCAAACCCTCCAATTTATGTACCTTCACGTCGGCTGTCGGCGCGTCACTCAGTAGCATTCTGTGTAATCTGGGCGCTGAATCTGTAACAGCAGAATGTCACAAAGGGTAAAACAAATGAGTGAGGAAACAAGGCTCACAGCCAACCAACGCCAAATGCCCGACAATTCTCAAGTTCGGAATTACCAAAATTGGGTCGGTCGACACAAACAGACTACAGCATTCAACGTTCAACCCTTAACAAGCAAAGACCTCAAAAACAGTTGAAATGTCTTTTTTGCAAGAGCTTTCTTGAGTTAGTAGCCGTCCGGTGTATGTAGTGGTCCTTCCTAAGTAGCAGCGCTATGAGATGCCAAGCCCACTTCAAAACGAATAGAACATCGGCTAGACCCCGACAACAGATATATGCACTCTATGCCATGAATCATTGGCACACTGGTATACCCGGGCCTTGGTATACATTATCTTCCAAAGAAAGGCGCTGGTGAGTTCAGCGATCGGATCGTAGGTTCGCCTTGCGAGTGTCAGAGGCGTTATCTTGAGCACAGTCGCGTGAGCCTTGCGTTAAATATTTTCAACAGTGGTTGAGGCAGAACAACACGTTATACTTTGTTAGGTCTTCAGAGTCTGAGGCTCAGTGGAATGCAGGGAATGATGATTAGGAAATTCCCACAATAGTGCCTGCCGCTAGACGTGAAATTTTGACAATCACCTCGAGGATCAGGACGATACCCAAGGATAATTACATCTTCTGCTCATCTCATACTCCCAAAAACGCCCAGCTTCCATCGTATCAGCCGAAGAATTATTCCCGATCATTGAAATACCCTGTATCATCGTCAAACATTGCCTTTAATCGATAACTTTTTGAGAGAAGATCCTCAAACTTCGAGAACGTAGGATATGGTTACCCAGCAGCATCACCATCGGCCGACATTAAAGCAGTCAAATAAGGCATTCAAGAGCAAGCATACAACAAAAGGAAGCTTGAAGGATGCCCAGAAGGGTAATTGATCGATTTGACTATGCTCTGCACATACACACTTATCCACATCGCAGGCAAGGTTCCCCGTTCATCTCCTAAATTGCACTCAACAACCTCTAATGACTCGGCGCAACTCCGTTTGAACAGACGAAATGCAGCTAAGCAGGCACAATTGACGAAGAGACAATCATTGGTCGACTCGCGCAGGCTGTTTAGTTCTGGAGGGACACCCCGAATCGTCGCTGTAGTTCCCCTCACATCCGATATAGATTCAAGGCTATGCGTGGAGCGGTTAGCGTTGGTCCTAGGAGAGACCGTAGAAGGAAGCGGGGAGTCGAGATCAAAACTACATGCATCGCGGTTCAAAACTTCGTTAGAGTTTCTCTTCCCCACTACATTCTATTCAACTCTCGACGCACTGCTCATCGCCGACTATGTCCTTATTATCCTCTCTCCGTCGGTGGAGGTCGATGAACAAGGAGAAACACTCATGAGGACCATGCAGAGCGTGGGCATGCCCAGCGTTGTGGCTATTGTAGGAGAGTCAACGCAAGAGACTGCCACCACTACATCAAAAGAACATAAAGAGATTCTCAAATCTCTCCTTTCGTTCACGCAATATTTTGTCCCCTCCCTGAATCGCGTATACGATCTATCTTCCTCCGCATCGAGTGAAGCTCTTAATACGATCCGTGCCCTCTGTGAATCTACGCCAGCTGAAGTTAAGTGGCGAGCGGGAAGGAGCTATCTACTTGCCGACCAGCTACAATGGGCCAAATCGATGACGGATCCGACTTCAGAGCTGAGTACCCTGGGGTCGTTAAGTATTACAGGGATTATTCGCGGTGCCTCCCTTGATCCAAATAGATTAGTACATATCCCAAGCTGGGGAGACTATCAGATCGAAAAGGTCAGTCTGAGATTTCTTCAGTTTCAATCTGTTCATGTTTCCGTCATTTCATTCATATATCTCGTTACTTCACCAATTTCCTTTCGCTTACGCTAATCAACCTTATAGATACTAAGCGCACCTCTTCCACGATCTACAAGAACTGCGTCTAAAACTACCTCTAATCTGGATTCTATGGATCAAAGTGACATATCCGTCGAGCCCTTACTCCTAGCCGAGCCCACTCCCTCAGAAGCCGACTCCTTAGTATCCACCAATTCCACTGACGACGAGGAGGAGTTGCGGAGGGAACAAACGTGGCCGACTGATGAAGATATGGACCGAGGTAATACGACATGATAGCAATTCGAACGAATACTGAATCTTCCCTCTTGCCTTACAGCCGGTCATGATATAGACTTAGATCTAGAAGGGCAAGAACCCATCCCCGACGCGCCCACAGGCACAACACCCAAACGAATAAAAAGAATGCCAAAAGGGATGAGCGAATATCAGGCGGCGTGGATCGTCGATTCTGATGTTGAGGAAGATGATGAGGAAGATGATGACAAAGAGAACCGTGTCGACTTCAAGATCGACACTCCCGAGGGAGACGATGTGGCTATGGAGGAAGACGAAGAAGAAGCCGAGGGTGACGACGGTATCTCAGGCGGGGGAGGGAAAAGAAAAGTCCGGTTTGGAGATGAAGCGGATTTCGAAGATCTTTCACAGGACGAAGAAGATGCCCAGCTTGCGTCGTGGAGACTCGCGAGGGAGAAGAACAAGGAGAGGGAAAAGGAAGGTATGTTGTTATATCCTATCATGAATACCTGAAAATTTCCAATGAGCGCTCATGATCTGTTGCCATTGCAGAACAAACGCACACGTTGTTCCCTGACGAAATTGACACCCCTCAGCATATTCCCGCTCAACAACGTTTCGCGCGGTATCGTGGTCTGAGGAGTTTCAGAACAAGCCCGTGGGATCCATATGAAAATCTGCCAAGGGAGTATGGCAGGATATTCAGCTGGGAGGGACAAGGGGATAAAAGGGGGGGTGGAGCGTTTAAGAGGATGGAGAGAAGTATCATCAAGAAAATAGAGAAGGAAGGAGGAGGTGTGGAGGTAAGCCTTCTCTAATTTTCATTTCACCACGTTTTATACTATCCACTTGTTATCCTTTTGTACTGTTCGCATTTTTTATTTTTCGTGCTTTCGTTCCCTGTCCCAGTTTATAGTTTCCTTCGCGTTTTACACTCGTTATATCCGTCGTGACTGACTTCCTTTTGTGGTTAGCCCGGCACACGAGTAACGATCGTCCTCAAAAATGTACCTCAGAGTGTCCACTTACACCACACCATTACTACCACCTCCAATTTCTCTTCACCGCTCACACTTTTCGCCCTGCTTCCGCACGAACACAAACAGACCGTATTGAACTTCACCATCACACGCAACACGGAATACACAGATCCCGTCAGGTCGAAGGACCCGATGGTGCTCTGCATGGGATTCAGAAGGCTGAAAATAAAGCCTGTGTATTCTGCTTTCGAAGGAGGTAAGTCCACTTTGCCTGGTATTCTCCCCTGGCCTAGTTTTTGGTAGACAGTCATCTGGATTCTCTTTCTTACTCCGATTCTTCTTTGCTCACGAAGTATATCTTCCCACTCGCTTTGCTAGGCAAAATACCCTTGAACAACGTCCATAAATTCCTTCGATACCTCCCGCATGGCGACACAAGTATGGCTACAATATATGGCCCTGTGATGTTTGGCAGCGGGAAGGTGAGCTGTGTGCTTTTGAGGGAGACTGGAGTAGATGTTATTTTCTCCACCACCTCCCCCACTCCCGCCCTGGTAGCTTCCGGTACCCTCGCTTCCCCATCCACCACGCGTATAATCGCCAAACGTGTAATATTAACTGGCCATCCATTCAAAGTACACAAAAAGACGGCGACGGTTAGGTATATGTTTTTCAATGCTGGTTAGTACTGTCTTCATTCTTTACATAACGTGCAAACTCAATTTAAACGAACAGAGGATGTCAACTATTTCTCGCCAATTCAGCTCCATACAAAACACGGTCGGATAGGGCATATCAAGGAGTCCCTGGGCACGCATGGGTACTTCAAGGCCCATTTCGACGGTCCCATTTCGCAGATGGACACAGTGTGTATGTCGCTGTATAAGAGGGTTTGGCCGAGATGGTCGGAAGCGGTTCATGCGGTTCAGGGAAATGGGGAAAGTGCTGGCTCAAATGAAACTATTGAGGTGGTAGAGGATGTTGATATGGACTGAAGTGCTGAGATGGCAAGGAGGCTTGTCGCTATATTAAGGGCCGGAAGGCGGGCAAACGACGTGCTTGATGCTTCTCGTCGCCTTGGGTCCGGTAATGCAGTCGTTGATCAGTAGCTTAACACTTTGAGCTCTCGGCTTGATCACTGATCAGAGTTTGAACATATACATATCAGTGCATGGTATTGTTCTTCTCAAGAGGCTCAAACGAGGGATTCAGAGGGAAAGAATCTATTAACCCAGTAACTTCGTTGCAATATACATTCCTACAGCTCCTGGACATCTAACACTGTTCAAGACCTAAACACTACTCGTCGTCCGCATGCTCATCCCAAGGGACAGTTGCAGGACACGGTGCTGAGTGGCACGGTTCAAATTCCCCGTGAAAGGACATGTCCACTTCTTCTGAACCAGGCACATCTATAAACTCATTCAAGAATCTAATCTGCATGGGATGGAGCCATGAATGAGTACGATGGACTCCCTGAAGAGCTCTTTCCGCCAGTTTTTGTGCCTTTTCCGGCTCGATTCTGAATCGTGGGGGATCGAACATCGGTCCGCTGAACTCGTGGAGGAATGTGACATTGACAAAGCTCAGCGGTGCCGAACGAGCTGCGAGGTTCTAATCATCTCTAAATCATTCTCTTCAGTCCTCAGAGGATAATAATGGACGCACGGTCAATGGCGCGGCGTACGCGGCAGATGCAAAACCTAGAACGAGGCAGGGGAGGGTAAAGCGCATCGTGAAAACTTTGATGAGGGCAGAGGATTGTCGAGGAACAAGAGTTCGATGGAAAGACGTTGGAGTGAATGCCAATCAGAAGGCGGCGGCGAAAACGCAAGAGAGAGCTCAACTAAGACGAAGCGGATTTAAACTGTCCAGCAGCTGGGGGAGGTAACTTGCTGTCTAGCCCTCTTCAACATATATGCATTGTATGCCATATAGTGTGAGTTTTGAGACCATCATTGGCTGTTGATATATTTGTGAGCACAAGGAGGCTGGAGCTTTGATTGTAACCCCGACGGCTTGTATGAAAGCAGCATTGCAAGACGTTGTGGAGCGTAGCCAGAAGGGGTAGCCTAGGCAAACAGGTGAAAGCGCAGTGGCCGCGTACTAGGACTTGAAATTCAAACGAGTTCAAGAAGCTGAAGGATAAATCGACGGGTCTTGAAGCTTGAAGCTTAGTGACTCTTGAGTCTTGTTTGTGCTGTAACTAGCACTTCCGTTCCTTTCCGTCGGTAAGCAGTGCCTGAAACAACTTGGAAACAACAGGACACAATGCACCATGAGGGTATTTTTAGTTTGTAAAAGAACCCTTCAAACTATGCACGTACCGAGGAGTCGCCACGACAAGCTACATGCATCCTCGTGCAACCCTAGCTTATCGGTTCTGTGTAGTAAGATAGGTCTAAAGGGGATGATACAGCCACAGGTCGTGTGGCACCGTGAAGGTCATTACAGTACCATGGATGTACATTATATCCCGTACCCCCTCGTATACCTCGCCACACGCAAACACGAGTAGTCCCCCTTAGGCACCGACTGACAGCTATTGAATCGTATTGAGGTAGTCGTGGTGGCACACATGCAGACTCTCGTCTGTCAAGAATCTCACCATCGAACTTGAAGAAGTCGAAGAAAAGAAAGCGGCAATGAACAGTAAAAGTAATTTTCTACACTGTGGTCTAACTATTACCGTGACCAGTAAGGTATGTTCCTAGGCACTCGGTATAAGGCTAATTAGAACCGGCTTCGTCGCCTCATCGTAAAGTACATTAAAAACACAGGAATAGCCGTTCTTACACGGCTTGAACCCTGTCATGGCAACACTGAACCCCTTGTCGTCAACGTTTTCGAAATTGTGTGTGTACTGGAACTCGTGGGGACCTCCTGGACCGTACTTCTTCATCACTCTGTCCAACCCGCTCTTCACTTTTGGGTCTAGCTCGAGTTCCGACGTCGTCGCTGAGAGCTTGGCCCCTGCGGACCTATCGTGGAAAGTGACAGTCACGAGGCGGGGGCTATGAGCAGTGGACTGGATGAAGAAAATTGTCAAATTTAGTTATTAGCTGCTGTGAGGTAGGTAACGACGTACCGGAGCAGCATACGCAGCAGATGCGAGCCCTAGAGCAAGGTATACAAGGCTGAAACGCATTTCTGTTTAGACGTCAATGAAGGATCGATTCGAGTCGAGACGGTGTCCAAGACGAAAGGTGGAGACGAGCGGAAAGGGCTTCTTTGGCGATACGGAGATTTTTCGAACTGACCAGCAGCTTGGGGAGATAACTCACTCCCCGGAGGCTCTTTTATACAATTTCTCGATACTCTGTGGGACTGCGCTGTGCCACACTGCGATCGGGTGCCTCTGAGCATTGACTGGTCTCTTTGTTGATCTGATTACTTCCAAGTGGCAAGGGCTGCAGAGGTCTACGAGGGCCGGAACAACAAAACAGCAGGGTACCTCCTGATACCTCCCCAGTAGCATATGCACGAGCAGAGCATGAGATCGCGACGGCTAGACCACAGCCCACAGCAAAACGAGTCAAAGAATCCGACTGCATAGTTCTGATCGTGTCTGAGGTTGAACAAATCAGATGTGACTGAAGCTTGAAGTTGGACGATGTTATACCAGGTTATACCCTCGTTGTACTGGGCGAAGGGGTACTAGGCCATGGGTTGGACTAGGTTGGACTTTGGAATTTTTTTTTCTTGAGGCATTATCGCGCGCGAAGCGAGTACCTGGGAGTACCCTGGAGTACCTGTACAGTGTACAACCATGATTCAGATAGGATAGGATAGGATATTCCCACTACCTCTTTAGAGGTTGAAGGGTTTCATCACTAAATCACGGAGACTCTTGAGAAGGATTATGATATGGAATTCCCAGTATAATGTGAAAAAATAGGTATCATGTTACTATGACATTGTGGTGACATTGTCAGCCCTTATAACACCTTAAAACGGGTGCCCCAATCCAACAATCATTTTTACACATTCTCAACATTGAAAAATCATTTGATCTTTGTAATAATATCTGGAAATCTTTTTTGAATATTACATGAATGAGGCCATCTAGAGCCGTCGCAGGTATACCCTTACCAGTTTGCATGCATATTTTGACATCAAATAGGGTACTGCAGGGTACTGCATAATAAAATTCACAATTGTCGTAATCATTTATTCCAAGCAAACCAGTTCGAAAATAATGTATTCAAATATCTCAATTCAATTCGAAGTATATGGAAGATACAAGAACGACAGCCGTGATAATAATCTATCAATCTATGATATACAGGGCAGGGAGGACCCCGGATAATCACAGTGAAGGTCGTTCCCAAAATTGACGAATTTCGGCTGAAATGTCCGAACCAAAATCAAGAATTTCTGTTAAAAAATGTCCGAAAGTCGACCAGCCGCCGGCGCTTAAGCAAATTAGCGCTCGCCTAAATGATCTTCGGGGAGGCTTCAAAAAATTTCCAAAAGTCCTACGGACTCCCACCTGAAGATATAACTCCCAAAGCTGAAAAAATGTCCGAACCCCTGTGAACAACCTACCGTCGTCAGAGGCCTTGAAATGTCCGAAAATCGAATGGAATTTTCGAAAAATTTCTCAAAATTTGTCCAAATTCCCGAACGACTGTATGCCCAATTATCCGGGGTCCTGGGCAGGGATATACGGATGGATTACGTTGTGACATTTGATCTGATGTATGACACAAACTAGGAGAATGACCGGAGGGGTTGCTTTGCTTCAGCACATGTTCACGTTCCACTGCATAGAATGGTTATTGCCTCCTTCATGAACACTGGCAAAGGAAGTTGAAATGTTAATGATATTGCAGACTTGAAAAAGACCAGCAGTCGGCGCAGTAATTTGAACGTTTTGAATTTGAAGCTCAGTCCTTGTTATGGTCAAGCATGCATAAATGGGGGAAGGAAACAGCAATTTTGGTCGACGGTTTGGAAGTACGGCCTTTTATAATAGAACAGGCTTGCCGAATTTGGAACTCCGAGTGGCAAGGGCCGCGGGTTGAGACGGTCATGTACCACCTGACAGTGAATGCCCGGAAAGAATACAAGTACCCGAAACACTTCCACAACATCCCAAAACCAGTTCATTGATTCTGTGCTGCTACATTAGCCTCACTGTTGATAGTCATCCTATCTGGCCAGCACCAAATTGATTAACTTAGTATCCAGACTCCAGGGAATCAATTGCAAGGTACTAGGAGAGTTCAACATATGTAATGTGCATGAGTACCAGCCCATATTGTGGCTAAAGGACATAACATTACAAACTAGCCAAAATACTGCTTCACCTTTTTCATTACTTACAATGTAGCAAAAATAATGGGTGACATTAGTCAAGGCTTAGAGCAAAGAACCCATAATTGAACCATGTCAGCATTGAATGTAACAAGGACTCACCATCCCATGATGCTCACAATGCTTCACAATGTCTGATAATTGTTGTACCTGTCTGAAAATTTGTCATAATGTGTTTGAAAGGTTCCTACTAGAATGTATTGCATTGTTATGTTACAAAATGGCTGTGACTTCTACAATCACGCTCAAGAACATCCGTGTTTTTGTGATGTTAGTAGAGCGAACTATTCGATCATTTTGGCAGTAAAAAGCGATCCTGTCATACTTTTTTAGTCATACACACAGCCTTTTCCCCTTCTATGCTTCATGCACCGCTTCACCGTTGGTTCTGTGTACGCTTGCGTACCACTTCACCATTATTTCTGTGTGTACGCATGCCTAATGTTAGTCGTGAAATTCTACGAGCTCTACCATCTAGCTTCCGAAATAACCTATTCCAAGGTAAGCTCCTTAGTGCATCACTATTTGGCAGTTAATGTCATACATTTTCAGTCATGTACAGCCTCATCCCTTTTTACCATACACTGCTGCCTCAGTCTGATTGCTTACAGCTGATTCTGAAAGTCTAGGACGAAACCAGCCTCCTCACATGGTTGGAGTACTGTTTAGCTTTGTTTGTGGAGGAGCTTAAGCACATAATTACTAGCCTTTTTGATAATGAAGTAGCGCCAGTGAACGGCAGGGCCCGCTACCAGTCAATGGGTGTCTGTGTGAGCACTAAGTACAAGGTGGATTGAACGCTGATGCAGGATGAGTGGTAAGAGGTAGTGTTTGTAGAGGTCTGTACTACAATGGGACCACACCTTGATTGGTGATGGCTAATATACTTGTATTGCAGATAGAAAAAGCGGCGCACGTAGGGCGCACCGCATGTAGCTGCGGCTGCCCAACCTGTAGTAGCAGTAGTAGTAAGTACCTCACCAACTCGAAAAGTGAATGACCAAAAGGAGATATATGACTAAAAACTGATGACAAGGGATGGCTAATTTCGAAAAAACTGGGTCTACTAAACCCTTCAACCTCTAAAGAGGTAGCGGGAATATACAAATCTGAGCAAGCAGCTCCGTTTTTCTTCAAGTTTCTTGCATCGAGACAGCCCTAATTTACTCCAACAATGTAATTACAACAATTCTATACATCCATCTCTGGGTTAATCTTTGTTATTTTGTCTATATCTACAAACAAGCCTAAGCAGTGCTCCAATGATGTGAGGAGGCTGATTTTGTCCTAGACTTTCGGAATCAGCTGTAATGCTTGTCCTGTACACTACCAGTGCAACCATCTAGTTTCCGAAGCAACTCTCCAAAAGCCATTTATCTACAACTCAAAATCTTGCTCTTTGCAGTAGAGATGTACTGCCCAAGCCTCGATTAATCCCGCACTTTTTTGAACTAAACGGCACACTTAACTTTTGAACAGTAGCGGGCCCTGCCATTCGCCGGCGCTACCTGGATATGAATTATACTGGCGAGGTCCGATTCCCGAACAACCAGTTTACCATGAACTGTACATTATTACATAATGTTGTACAATAATGGAACACACATATCTAATACAGGGGGGCGATTATGATCATCTATGTCCTGGTTATTGAGGGGAAAAGCGGAAAAAAACCCCTCCCATGGTATCATGAATTACACGGTCTTCCCTGCCTCAATATGCATGCAGCATGTTACTCCAGCCGATATATTTCAACTGCATAGAATATTTCCAACACCTCATGCACATACTTTGCCAACAACCCCACAACCCTCTTATCTGCCAGTAACTCCCTAAAGAGCTCCCATCCATCCCTATAGTGCCGTGCAAAATGGGGTATCTCCTTTATCACCCTTTGCATAAAGGTTCTCCTCAGCTGTAAGACCTTGCAGCTGTTGCTGCATTCAAACAAAACATGTGCCCCATCTTCCACTTTTTACCTACACATCCTACACAATCTTCTATCATGCTGCACCATTGGTTTATTCCTCTCTGCCCACCTTAGTCTCTCCACTGCCAATTTGTGGTTGCTTGTCACCATGTCAATCAAGGATCTTCTATGTTCACTTATTGGTATCCTCAAGTAGTGTCTAAAGGCCAGGGTCCTTACAACCATTTTCTTTGTCTTCTTGTCATACTCTCTTCTGTCCCTTAGCACATCCTTTGTTTTGTTTGATGTGTCCACCTTTTCTTGATGTTTCTCCATTGATTTCTTTACTCTATCCATTACCCCATTGATATGTTGCACAGTCAAGTCCTTGAATTCTGGTATATTCCAGATCACCCTGTGAGGTAGTCTGTCTAACACTTGTACCATTTCCATAAAGACTGAGTTCTTTCCCTGCTCTGCCAGTTCATAGGCTTGTCTGCATGCCTTCTATGCTAAGTGGTCCCTCTTCAACTGCACTAGATACTTCAGATTCTTCAAGAACAGAATAATTCTTTGATAGCGAATTGGCCATAGGCCTGTTTCGGAGAACAGTAGTGCCACTATTGATCTATCATTTAGTCCCAACATCCTCCTTATGAAGTAATGCTGTACACTCTCTAATTGCTTTCTTCTTACATCATAAATGTCCACTATCACTTCTGCCCCATTTTTCAAATAGGGATCAACCCTGCCCATGTACAGCAACCATAAGTCCCATATTGGAATATTTTTCCCTACAAACACCCTTGCATGTAGTACTGCTCCTGCAGTCTTTTTTGCTTTCTCAGCACTCTCCTTGTACTGCTGCTGATACATGTCCACTCCTGTTGTCTAGTACCAGATCCCCATGTACTTCATCT